TGTCTCCATCCATCCATCCGTTTGTCCATTTTTCCATTATTTATTGAGCACTTACAGTGCACGAGGCACACTGACCACTTTGTTCTTAGATTGTGGCTCTTGCATAAGTGTTCTATCTGGTCCAGCACATTATAATCTCAGGTATAATCCATGTCTGATCCTCCGCTGCATTTGCGAGTGCTTCCCACAGAGCTATGCGCCTGCTGAATGTTAGTGGATGCTGAATGCTGACACAAGTTTTAACGTACATCCAAATCTTTATTCAAAGGCAGTGAGAATATTTTTCAGAACAATGCTATTTTTATTTTTGCAATATCTACATTATTATTTTTGAAAATTTCCCATAACCCCACCACTTTTTCAGAAGGAAATGAAGATGTGACAATTTCCTTCCTCAGCCAGTTTAGCCTTATCCTTGGAGGCAATGATTGCCAATAGTTTTTTGTCTGTTCTTCTTACAGACTTTTCAAAACAGTTTAATGCAAATTCACATGCAGATATGTTTAAATTAGCACATATATGAAGAGCTGTATGAAACATGGATTTAAGAATAAATTATGGATTTACAAAGTAAATATATTATGATGTTTAATGTAAGTATATGTAGTTCTTTATATCTACAAAATGGTTTTGAATACATTGTACTCATTTTAGTCCCCAGCCCTGTGATGTAGGCTCAGAGAAGTTGACAGGCAGACTTCTGGTACATGGTGGAGCTAAAACTTGAACCTAGATCTCCTGCCTCCTAATTCATTCTGTTTCTACTATGCAAAATAATTCCTGAGGGTTATTCGGGAATGATTATTGACATAATTAAATTATTCTTTGTTTGACTTCAGAGCATCAATGTGGAATTCATTTGAAAGCTTATTTTATTATATTGAAAACAGACAACAGCTGATATTTATCAGGTGCTAACCATGTGCCAGAAACTGTTCTAAGCACTTCACTTGCATTGTCCCTTTTAGCCTCCAATAAACCTATCATTTAAGTGGCTCTATCAACCCTATTTCCAATGAGGAAACTGAGGTTCAGGAAGGTCAATAACTGGTTTGGGGATGCTGGCGCATGCTATACTTTTGTTTTGTTGGTTTGTTTAATTTTAAAAAGTTTCTTTAATGTTGAAAGTATTACATATGTGCCCTTTCTCTCTCCCCGCCGAATGTTCAGATCTAATCACATCCTCCAGGGAGGGATAGGGCTGAAATGGAGTTTATACTTGATCATGCCTACGTCCGGAAGACTGCAGAAAATCCCTGCCTTCCGTCCGAGATTCTGCACTGTGTTCCATGCTTCCATGTCTCTGGATCTACTCCGTTCATCAGTTTATTTTGTTACTTTGATTCCACATATGAGTGTAATCATGTGAAACTTGTATTACTCTGACTTATTTCACTTACCATGATACTCTCCAGGTCCCTCCATGCTGTCTCAAAGGTAAGAGATTTTTTTTTTTTTACTGCTGCATAGTATTCCACGGTATAAATGTACCACACAGCTTTCTTATCCACTCATATACTGATATACTGGGTTTTGAACCTAGGTCCTTCTGCCTCCAAAGTCTGTACTCTTAGCCATTATACTTTGCAGTTTTGTTTACACATAATTTCAAATAAGAAACTAATATCCTATATAATAAAAGGCTTATATGCAAATTGTCCCCATGGACAGGAGTTTGATCTACCGGGAGTTAGATGTGCACTGACCACCAGGGGGAAGCGCGGAACATGGTGAGTGTCCGTGATGTGGCGCTGGTGGCAGGTGGCAGTGGAGGCACTGCCGCCCCGCTGGGCCCCGCTGGGCCCCGATGAGAGTGGGACCACGGTGGGATGGTAGAGCAGGTGAGTGGGTGGCACCAGGCCAAGGCCGGTGTGAGCGGGGGCCCCAATCTCCCCGCTCGTCACCTCACAGATTGGCCCTGATCGCCTGCCAGGCCTAGGGACCCTATCCGTGCGTGAATTTCGTGCACCGGGCCTCTAGTATAAAACAGGGTGCAAACTCGATGTAAGTTATACTTTAAAGGTACTTGCAATATAAAAGAAGATAAGTCTAGTGCATAGAGTAAGGTATTTAGATAAATGCTTGAATATGAGGAAGAAAAACATTAAGAAAGGATGAAGTAGGAACACACACAGAAAAAGATTGATTGCTTGGTTGATTGAGAGGAAGAGAGAAACTGGGCAAAGAAGTTGGAAGCAGACAGTGGGAGGCGTGGGGACCAGAGCTGCAGCCCTTCTTGCTCCTGCCAAGAGTCCAGTCCATCTGGGACTCTCCAACCCAGCTGGATGCTCATTTTCCTGGTACTCCCAAAGCCAATGCTGCCTGTCCTCCTGGGCTCAGAACTGGGACACATGAGCACCGAGCCCCCCAGAGGGCAGCCCCGGGCGAGCAGGAGCTGTGAGTGAAGAGGAAGGCATGTCTCATCATCTGCACAGCCCCCAGAGAGGCCGGGAGGAGAGCAGTGGGGAACACAAGAGCCTGGAAGACGGGCCGGGAGAGAAGTGCCTCAACAGGCTGGCCCATGGTCCTTTCGTATGGGCTGAGCCAGGGGTGGCCATGTGGGTCTTAGTTGACAGATGTTAGGGCAGTCCTACTGGCAAAGAGGTAGGGATGCTGCCACCTCACTCTGCCTCAGGAAGTGCCGCACAGTTAGGTTCTATGCCAGTTAGCGTGACTACCGACCTGTGAGCATGGGGTGGGGGAAGGGAACTGCTGGAGACTGAGATGAGGGTGGGAGGGAGCATGGCGGAGATGCCAAGAGAGTGGAGGCAAGATCGTGGCATAGGTGGAGGAAAACCCCTTTTGCCCTTGGGTGGTGGCACCACGATAAAGGGGATCTGAGTCACCGGGGAAGGCATGGAATAACTGGGATGGGTTTATACACCCAACTCCCTCACTTCCTTTGGAGTCATTTGGTTGTTTTCAAATTCTCCACCCTTTGCCGGCTCCCCGTCTTTGCCCGTCAAATCTGGTTCTTGTGTGTGTGTATATATGTGCTGGCTCGAGGTAAGAATGAGCTCAAAACATAGAAAATGGTGACTGACAATTTTTGATCTATAAAAACGTTTTGTTTTGTTTTTCATATGGTTCAACATGAAGGGGTAAATTAAATATCCAGGTAGAAACCTACCATAAATGAATGTGTTGATCATTATTCCAGCTCTGTAATTGTGCTTCTGGTAATTAATTTCAGCCAGAGGCTCTGTTCTGAGACAACTTCATTGCTACACCCCGGGCGACAGAAGATTCAAGACAGTGGGTCAAGTTAGTCGCCATCCCCCAGGGAGCCCCTACAGATGGTTGCCGTAGATTTAAGGACCAGCTACATAACTTATTGGGTCTGGTGCAAAATGAAAACATGGGTCCCTTGATGAAAAATGATCTGAATGTGGGACCCTGTGTGACTGCACAGGTTGCATGGCCATGAAGCCAGTACTTGTTGGCTAAGGGTCAAAGGCCAAGGTCAAGATTATCCATTTGCCTTTCCATGCCAGTGGCTAACCCCCTTACCCCTCAATTGCTTTCCTCAGGATCTGACCAATAGCATATGAAGTGGCAAGGAACTGGGGAAATAATTTAACTGTGGGTAAATCAAGAAAGGAAGCTTTGGCCTGGCCAATGTGGTTCAGTGGTTGTCAACCCATGAACCAAGAGGTCATGGGTTCGATTCCTGGTCAGGGCACATGACTGCGTTGTGGGCTGTATCCCCAGTAGGAGGTGTGTAGGAGGCAGCCGATCAATGTTCTATCTCTCTATTCCTCTCCTTCCCCCCCCTCTCTAAAAATCAATAAAAAACATATTTTTTTAAAAAGCAAGCTTGTGTTTTCATTTCCTACTATCTTTGCTAAATCAGTGTGCTTGAAATTTGCAAGTCAAATAGAAGTGAGTTGTATGTACCTTGGTGTGGGCTGTATCCCCAGTAGGAGGTGTGTAGGAGGCAGCCGATCAATGTTCTATCTCTCTATTCCTCTCCTCCCCCCCCTCTAAAAATCAAAAACATATTAAAATCTATTAAAAAACATCATCTCGAGTGAGGATTTAAAAAAAAGTTAAAGGAAGGTCTGGAAAACAGTCATTCCATAATGATGCCTAAATCACCTAAATGATTTAACACCAAAACATGGGGAAACGCTTAATGAAAGAGTCCCCAGGCCTGAGGAAGAGTTGGGATCACAGGTGAGCAAAGTTCTGAACTGCCCTCACCTTCCAGGTGCCCTCACTTGACCTCTTATGAAGCACCAGTGAGGAGCCCACTAGGTGAGCTGCCCAGCCCAAGGGTGGGTGGCCAGAATCCCAGAGCTTCCCATGTGCAGAACGACTTCCAAGCAAAACACCACATTTATTCAGTATCTTCAGTTTCAAGTTTACTGAGCGATCTGCCAGGGATTGACTTTCTTATAGAGATCGACGCCCCCTGCTGGTACGCTACTAACTAGCATGCCTACTAAACTGTTCACTCTCAATGTACCCAAATTGGAAAATACACACTTGGGATTTAACCTTGAACAAAAACCAGTGAAAACAGCATGACTCATGCTGCTATGAGTTATATATGGATTTGGTAATAGGTTGAATTTTTAAATGTTTCATGACTCCCAGGTTCCTAGTAAAAATTATTCCTTCAGTTCTTTAGCTCAATTATAGAAACATGGTTAACATTTTGAAATTCTGAATGTTCTGATGGAATATTCCTCCCATTTCAGAATGGAGTGGTCCCAGTAGGCTTTACAGGGAGGTCGCGTGGTCCAGGGAGAGAACACAGGTTTGGGGATCAGACAGCCTACACTGGAATTCATTTACAATTGGAGTGATTTTGAGTAAGTCTTTAACTTGGAACATGTCATTTAGGTTGCCATCTCCTGATCAAGGAGGGTAAAATATCCACCTTCAAAGTGGACACGGGGGCTAGAGATCACGTGTCCGAAGCACATGAAAGCATTCCGCTAACCGTCGTTACTGTTACTATATTATTCAGATGTGGGTCTAACTTGGGCTTCAAGGGACCCAGATTCTATTTTTCCAGAGGACAGAGGCTGCATCTGGAGCCCTGAGTCTGATTCAGAGAATTCACCCCTGGGTCACAAGGGCAGGGTTCACACTGGGCACGTGACTCTCTTTTGAACCACACAAACACAATCCAGGTGCTGTCGTCATGCAATATGCCTCTCCCTGGGCACATCTGGATAATTCTACTTCTAAGAGGTATTCCAAGTTCCTTTATTTCCCCCTCCACCCTGTTAGCCCAAGCCACCATCATCTCTCACCTGAGCCAAAGTTCTTCTGTCTTCCCACTTCTACTCCTGCCTGCTCAAAACCAGAGGGACTTATATTTAAAAAGATAAAATATAATCTCATCAGGCCACCCCACCTCCTCCTGCCTGCCCCCCACCTTCCTTGTAATGCCAGTCCCACCTCCCGGATCTATGCAATTTGTTTTCTCTGCAATCACTCCTGATCCCCCGTTCTTCCTCTGGCTACTCCTACCCATCCTCCAGGTGTTGGCTCACACTCTAAAGGAGGGTACAAGAAATATCACATGTCCTTCAAGTCTTTTTGGCCTCACTGTGCACCACTGAAGCTGTCGTCATGGAGCGTTCTTTCCTTCTCTTAGGGCCTCGCCAGCATTTAGGATGCTCATGAATGACCCGGAACATGAGTAAGGACCTCTACTGGCACTCTCCGTCCACCTGGGTCACTGCTCCTGTCCTCACTGCCAACGCTGAGGGGCCCTTGAAGGAGGTGATTCCAATGCTGCAGGATCTTGGCCTTGGCTGGAAGACTCAGAATTGAGCTTCAGGTCTCTTTTTGGGCGCACCCCAAACCATGTTACTGAATACCACCAGTGACTGGGCACAGCTTTCTACTCCTAAAAGGCTCCTTCTCTCCTTCCCTGCTTCCCAAACAAGAGGCAGGCTTGTTTTGGGGCATGTCTGCTTTCTGCTATGGACAGGAAGCATAAAGGGCCTGGCCACTTCCTTGGAGAGTGAGAAACATTCAGAAACACAATTCAACTTCAAATTACGTGCTAGAAAAGCTACTTATCAGATCTACCCATAATGGCCCAATCTGAATGAGATCCCCCCAGTCAGGGCCCAGACCCGCTTTACCTGGTCTGTGTGCCCATTCCCTGGATACTGTGTTGGCGGCGTCTCAGGGCTGCACTGTTCTCTGCAGAGCCACATCCCCTGACCAACAGGCATACTGCGTAAAAGGCCTAGTCTCCGGTCTCAAAGTGGGACAACTCTTGGTGCCACCATTTTCACAGCTGTTGTGGGGTCTGCCGTAGGCTAGACTTCAGCTGAAGTCACATCTTTGCTCACCTTTCCCCTTGCCCTATCCTGCTGCTCCCGAGCACAGCAGCCTCTAGAAATCCTTTGCACGAGAAACTCTGCCTCAGGCTTTGCACCCAAGTAACATCCAATTTTCCTTCCTAGAATGTCACAATTTGAAATTATGACTTTGTATGGCTCCTGGTTCAACGCTTGTTTATCCTACTAAACAAAGGCAGAGGCCCTGTTTATTTTGTCCATTGTTGTATTCCCAGCACGAAGCCTGTGCCTCCCAAACAGAACACACACATGCTTTCACCTGGATGTTTGGATCACAGGAGAGTTGTTACACAAGGTTCCTACTGAAATCCCAAAATCAGCTCACTTGTTTGTGATTCACTTCTTCCTCCTAAGAGCTAGGTGAACAGAAGGACCCAGTAAAAACAGGATGAGAAGAGATTTCAATTACTCAGTGTTTTCAGTTTTTCAATGATGGATACCTAAGTATAAACCAGGGCTTCTTCGCAGTGTTTACAATAGACAGAGAACAAGGCAGACAGAGAACGGAGGCAAATAATTCCAAGGAGATAATATAAGTGTTTTGCAAAGTACAAGTTCCCATACAATTTATAACTAAATACTGGCTCCATGGTGTTCTGGTTATATCTCAAAGGGCTCTGAGAAAGTAAATCCCATTACTAGATAAAACTAGTGGTTCCTCTAGCTGAAGATCCTTTCCAGAAGCATCAAAAGTGGTGGGGAGGGCAGAGGAAATGTCAGACTCTGTTTAATTTATAAAAGTATGCAAGGTATGAAAACATCATGGGGAATCTGAGGCATCCCAGCAGTCAGTGAATGGGCTTCTGAACGGCTAATACATCTCCACACCCCCTCAGACTGCGTCTCCAAGTGGGGTACATGGGAAGTTAGTCATTCTCCTTAGCCTGGCTCCCTCCCTTAGCCTTTTCCTCTCATATCTTCAAGCACCTATCACAGGACACACACCAGCAGATGGGAAGGGTTCAACTTGGACAGTAAAGCAAAATTAAAGGCAAATGTTTAACCAAACATGTTTAAACACAAGCTAGCAAATGAAGAACTTTAGGTTCAAAGAGCCAAATATTCTGCATTCCTGAGAAATCTCAACCAATTTCCCATTCTGGTATTTCCACACTGCACTTTGCTGCCACAAATTAAGTGGGTGTACATTTTTGAGTGTTGGATCACTAAAAGATTTCAATTAGGAGACTGAAAGAAAACATTCTGTATCTCTGTATTAAAAAAAAAAATTTCTGTCCATGAGAAGGGAGCCAGGTGTCAGTTTCCTACGGGGGGGACGTTCTCGTGTAGGTACTGTAAGGCCAAGTCGGTCCACTTCATCTCTTGTTCTTTAACAGATTCTGTGGTGCCACCGTTGTCCTGCTCAGGTTCAGGAAGCTCATTCTGAAAAGGTACAATGGATATTCAGGACGATAGTAAACTGTACGTTAACAAACCCCTTAAAAGTCAAGAGCACGTAGAATTAAACCGAGTTCCTAGAAACAGGTAGCATAATTGGCAGAAATGTATCCTAAAGAAATAGCCAGAATAAAAAGGTGTGAGGAAGTATCATTCAGGTCCTCTCCAGAAGGAATATGGTCTTATGGCTCTAGCATTTGTGCAGGAGGCTAAGGGCACAGCTTTCGGAAGCTACCAGGACCCAAGCCCAACACTCTACCGCTTGGGTTACTCAGGCAAGGCATTCAAACCCTTGGAGTCTTTGTTTCCTCTCTGAAAATAAGAGAAATGCAGCCATAACCTCCTAGGACTGCCGTGAGACTAAACACTGTGATTTAGATCAAGTGCTTAGCACTATGCAGGACGTCCATGTTCAAGGAATATTTGCTATTATTGTTAATGGCTGGGAAAACAGAAGAGTCTTTTTTAAAATTCTATTAAGGGGCTGCCTTAATAGAATATCACATTTGCTGGCATATTCCTTAAGCACAAGAAATGTATTAAGAAACTACCCTGCACCCAGCATGCCTAGATTATAATGGAGCTAAGTGGGGAGCAGTGAAAATGTAGCATGAGACTACCCCCTAGTGGTGGGGCCGGGCAAATGACCAATGCATATCCAGCCAGCATTTTCTTAAAATGGTAAGCCATGGGCCACACTTAGTGTAGAATGTGGAATAATTTCCATATATATCCCCCCAGCTTTATTGAGGTTTAATTTACATATACCATCCTGCAAGTTTAAGGTGTACAACATGATTTGCTACACATATAATGTGAAAAAATTACCACAATTAGGCTAGTTAGCACATCCATTATCTCACATAGCTACCATCTTTGTGTGTGTGGTGAGAACTTTTAAGAAAGTTTCCTTATATTTTAAGTGTAAATGTATTACTACCAGGACTCTGCTTTGTATCAGAATTCACTGATACCAATATATTTCTTTTTAATTATCTGAATTTACATTTCTTTTAGGGTTTGCAAACTGTTATTCACTATCCAGACTTACGATTTTCCAATGGATTCCAATTTGCAGTATATGAATATGTTCTTCTCTTTTAGAATTATTTTGATATATATATATAAAACGATTTATTTATAATATGATAAGCATATTTGAATCACATACATCTTGCTCTACAAGCTGAGAGAAACTATCACTTATTGTAAAGTAATAATACACTTAAAGTGAAAGTTTGGTTCCAATAATTAGTTATAGCTGACAAAGCATAAACAAGTCCTTGCTTCAGAAGCAGGCAACTTTGCTTAATTTCATCCCGTATGTGTTCTAAAATGATGTCTTTCATTTGGTCACGATTGTCTCTTGGCAATGAATGCCAACATATAAAATTGCATATGTGCTTGGAAAACAAACACAAAGTATCATAAATGCAACCATCTATTATGGTACAATGTAAAAATGACCACAATTCTTTGCAGCTACTCTATGAAAAGGCAGTGTATTTCCCCATCCCTCACTCTCTTTCAAAGACTTTAAAGCTCTGAGCCTCTGCACAGTCCCCACTGCTGGAGTGCCCTTGTCCACCCCCACTAAACTGCTGGTCCTCCCTTATGACCAGCTTAAACATTACTTTCTCTCTGTGGCTTCTCCTAGACTAGGAGCCACTTCCTATACCACGGTGGCTGTTCATGACAACCCCCTTAAAACCCTTATTATAACAATTATTTACTTTTGTGTGCTTCCTCCCTAGACCCGCAGGGGCAGAAACTGTATCTTATGTTTACATAATCTGGCACACACAAGGCTTCCAAAGACACACTTATGGAATGAAAGAAATCGAAATTCACAGGGCAGGATCTGGAGCCTCACAGACCCAGGTGTGAAGTCCAACTTAGCAGCTACCCAACCCTGGGCAGGTTCCCCTCTCTGATCCTCCTTTCCTGTAAAATGGGGATAACAGCACCATCTCGCAAGGCTGTTTCAGGATTAGAGATAATGTATGTCCAATTTCAACCTCCGTCCATGGCATAAAGCTGGTTTTCACTAAATGGCAGCTATAATTCTCATGACCCTCTCTTTTGACTATTTTTCTAAAGTTGAAATAAGCTGTGATTTATTATGTGATATGTGTATTACTCATTGAACATATTATCATCTCTTATTCTTAAGTGGAAACATGGGTGAGCTAGATTTTCTTTCTCTGTAATAGCAGCAGCAGTGTACCCATAAGCTCTATCTTAGAACCAGCTCTTCTGAGGATAGTTGGCATACTTGAAAGAAAAGCATTCCTCTGTGATATAAATAGAATCTTTAATAAGCACTTATACAAGCTAAGCTTTTAGATAATTTACTACATAAGTTTAACAAACTCTTTGCAGGGCAGTTTCACAGAGAGCAGGCAAGTGTATTCCAGGAGCCTACTAATCCAAAGGCAAAAGGAGAAAAGCCAGATTTTTTTATTATTTTCCAGGGAACTTAGGTGTATGTTCTAAGCATGTGAGTTTTTAATAATGTGAACAAGCCAGTGGCAGGGAAGTAAGAAATACCATGTAGCTTATATGGCACTGCTTTGTATTCTTCCCCATCTTATGCATTAAACCCTCATTATCTGGCTTACTGGCTTTGGTGTAATTGACAGAAAAGGCTCAAAAGACCTGGGTTCCAGTCCTGGAATGACCCCTAACTAAGGTCACATCAGCTTTCTGAACCACATTTCTCTTTAAATAAAAAGTCTAGAGCAGTGGTTCTCAACTTTCCTAATGCCCCGACCCTTTAATACAGTTCCAAATGTTGTGGTGACCCCCAACCATAAAATTATTTTTGTTGCTACTTCATAACTGTAATGTTGCTACTGTTATGAATTGTAGTGTAAATATCTGATATGCAGGATGTATTCTCGTTGTTGCAAGACAGCCTACCAGTGGTATTGCCACATCCTCGTAGGGCAGCTTATCTTCTCGCCAAGCATCGTCAATCAAATCCAAGATCCTTCCATCTCTCTGTACTTCACTGTCCATCCTCCTGCAGCTCTGATCTTGTCAAATCTGTCAGTCAAAGAGGTTATTTCTAAAACACAGACTCAGGAGGTGATGTAATCCAGCACTAGGGTCCCCTAGGCTTCTTAGTCTGGATGTGTCGTCTGGCATAATATGACCCTGGGAAAGACTCGTCTTCTCATCTGAGTCAGGTGACAACTTATTTATATGTAATCACAGTCCCTCCTTTCTGTTCCCCCTCCAGCTGATAAATGCTTTGTAGTGTACACTGAACATAGGACATGGCCCAGACCAGTGGCATGTGACAGGAAGGCAATACATTTGAAGGCCTCTGTTATAAGGCCACACAGCACATCTAGAATGCAGCTTTTCTTTCCCAACTGGCACATTCACCTTTCCCTTTCAGGATGCCTTTGGTGAGTCCCTGACTCTTCAGCAAGTCTCCTCTCTGGTCCCTGCAGCGTTTCCTGCACCATTTTTACAAGAGTCACCACCTGCCTTGCCTCAAATGTTGGCATTCTTAGCGCAAGAAGCTAAATGATAACACTGAATTACACAAAGTGACCAACCACAGACCTGACAGAAATCCTCAGCTGAGCTTGTAAATACATGGCCTCCTATCTTACGGTGGCACTCAGGCTGGGCCCTGAAAGCAGCACCTCCAGGTGAGCACTAGTGGCAGGGCTCCATGCTGCTTGCTTGCTTTTCCTTTCCCTTTGGCGTGACTCTTAATGCTGCACGCCCTTTAATGCCTGGTCAAGATACTTATCATGCTGATCCCCCACCCCCCTTTTACTTTTCCCT